TGCGTCCACATGTTTGGCCTGAACTGCCCCCGACGTGCCAGTGTTTACCAAGCCACCAGTGTGGCTCGCATCTAAGATACATTGGTACATTCCATATATATATCCACAGTGGTTTTTGGTGCTTTTTTATCTGCAAAATAAGTCACCATGGCCCCAAGAAAAGCTTCTAGTGCCAATCCTGTGGTAAAAAGGATGAGAAAGCCCTATGCCATTTGTGGAATGCCATTGTGCCACTTAAAAAATTAGAAATGTGTGCAAGTGTGTTTTCAACTGGGGGGGGGGCCCCAAACAAACCTTTATGGATGAAAATCACCCGTAACCACAGCTTTTGCAAGCCGTGCTCAGACTATTACATTGACAATGTTGGGCCCATTTTTAGAGACAATCTTAAAGGAACGGGAGGTACAGACCTCTCTGTACAGATTTCTTGTGCGACTAAGGTCCAGTGACTTCTCAGCTGGTTCCCTATTGGCATTAAAAGAATAAGGGTAAGTAACTCCGGAAAAGGACTTGCTACCTCAAGTCCTAATGAAGGGGATTCCCTTCTAAACATTAACAACTTCGACACTTTCCCCTCCCTCCATTCCCATCAATCATCACCAGATCTTCATTAAAGGGTAAGTGACATGTTTATACCTATGGTTAAGTAGAGTACTACTAACTGTGTATGTCTTCTCAGTGTGTGTGCTTTAAACTAATTATTTCAATGGGTATAAACTTTATTTTTCATAGTACTTATTGGGTGTCTTGGCATGATTAATTAGATTTCCCCCCATTTTTTCTTATTGGGAAAATTTATATTCGCCTTCTGATCAATTTTGGCATACGATGAGCCTGCAGGAACGGAATTAATATCGTATACCTGGGGGGTCCATGTATTTCATCAGTCAAAGAGTAAGTCAGGGAAGTTGAATAGCCTAGCTAGTGAGGGTAGTGGAGGCAAGGTAACCATATGATAAAAGCTCATGGAGCAGGGATAGTGATGACCTAGTAGCACCTCAGTGAAGAGGCGGGCTAGGAGCGTGAGTCCCTCGACCCCTGCAGACCACAATTAGGTGAATACAATTACAGGCACAAATAAATACTGTTATACATAGTGTAAATAACTTAGGATAACCTAAAAATCCAGAGAAAGTGTGCTATAAGGCATAATAAGCATGACTGGCAGGTAATTAACACATTTTTCACCTTTTCAGAAATCAGACGTGACAACGCTGCATCGTGTGTAATACCTGCTGTTCACGATGCACCGTCTGCGGGCTGCGTCGCGACCGTGGATGGACGAGACAGGGGAGGCATAGTGATAACCAGGCAGGGACTAGGGAAACGGGCGGGACATGTGAAGGGGCGGGATGCAGTATTATACAGTGAGGGCGTCGGGAGGGTGGTACAGGACACTAACTGATACAGGAACACATAACACAATAGGTGGTGACGGAACATACGGGCGGTCTGTGAAAGATCTAAGCGAATGGACTCCGCAAATCAGGCGCATCAATGATCGTAAAACAGTAAGACAACATGAAAAATAAATCTAAGGCAGGTGCACAATCATTACAATGTCACTCCACAATTGACACTCACTGCAGTGGAGTGATAGACAGATTGACAGAAACAGATAACAGACATGTTATATGTAACAGTGAAAAATAAAAGCCAAGGCAGTGCAGGATCCTGTAAATGTCACTTCACACAATTGAACACTCCACTGGCAGTGTAGTGATAGAAGAAACAATAAACAGACATGTTTTATTTTGTAACAGTGAAAAAATAAATCTAAGGATTGCACAAACGTCAAATGTCCAGCCCACGGTAGTGAGTGACCGCTCATCTTACACTAGCTTTCAGAGTTTCATATATACCCAGCACTTAAAACATTGCTGGGACCATGCCAAAAAGCAAAATCAATTCATATTTATATATATACATTTTTTTCTTATTTAACACTTTAAACGACCAAACGTATACATATGGGGATACGTTCTTACGCATAATGCCCCAAACCTCTATATACGATTTTATTTTTTATCCTGCCTTCAAATTGGAATGATTGCCTGAGAAATCCTTGTCAGCATAGAATGGGTCCCTAACACTCAGTGTGCGTTGGTAAAAAAAAATCTGGGACCACTTAGTATCCTTGTGGGAGCAACAGTTAAAAAAGAGTGCCAGCGTAAAGCAAACAGTGCAGCAAAGACCAAGGGGGATTCACTGATGAAAATCATATTAACAACTCCTCTTTTAAGAGGAAAGTGATGTTAACCCCCAATTTAGGGTCTTGTCATATTTTCTTTCTATCACTGTATCTCTGTCTAGTCTCTATCTCTGTCATTCTCTGACTGTCTCTGTTAGGTCCAATCTCTGTCTGTGTCTGTCTCTGTCACTATTTGTCTTTGTTCTCTTCCTCTGTAACTCTTTCAATCTGTCCTTCTTTCAATCTGTCTCTATCCTCTGTCTCACAGGTACACAAAAATACAGTATACGTAATGTAAATTACCTAGGGTAACCCAAAAAATCCCAGACAAAGTGCTATACTCTGCTTGAAGAAGTGAGTAAAACGTGAGTTGAGCAGTCTTGTGGCTCTCTCTGAGACAGAGAGCTAGACGGATAGATAGACAGGGAGCTTGACAGACAGACAAATAGGACAGACATACTGTTTGTGTACCATGAAAACAAAGTGAGGGCGATGCTCATCAAATATCCTCTAATCTTTTGGCTTATCAGCTGCACCCTCCCCACCCTCTTGTACGCTCATCAAACGTCAGCTCTTTATCAGTTGTTATCTCATCTTAACGATGTCAGCTGTCAGGGGTGACTTTGTTTTCATGTTTCAAGGAGAACTTATTATTACCTATTATATTATTTAAAATTCCTCAAAATATTCCTTCCATCTCCCCAATACCTCTAACTCTCCATTTAATAACCTCCTCTCCCAATTTTTTAAAAACTGACAAATCCATTTGTTCTCTAGCTCCTTAACTTGTTAATCTCACGCAAAACCTTTTTCTTATTTTCAACAAAATTTGTTGATAGCATCTCACCCACTCTCTCATTTGCTCTCTTTTTACATTGCTTCACACTCTCTTAACCTCTCTCTTTTTCTCCATATACTCTTCCCTCCTTGCATCACTTCTACTTCGTAAAAACTCTCATATGCTAACTTTTTCTCCCTTACTACTCTCTTTACATCATCATTCCACCAATTGCTCCTCTTCCCTCCCGCACCCACCTTCCTGTAACCACAAACTTCTGCTGAACACTCCAACACTACATTTTTAAACCTACCCCATACCTCTTCGATCCCATTGCCTATGCTCTCATTAGCCCATCTATCCTCCAATAGCTGTTTATATCTTACCCTAACTGCCTCCTCTTTTAGTTATAAACCTTCACCTCTCTCTTCCCTGATGTCTTCTATTCTCCTTGTATCCCATCTACCTTTTAACTCTCAGTGTGGCTACAACTAGAAAGTGATCTGATATATCTGTGGCCCCTCTATAAACATGTACATCCTGAAGTCTACTCAACAGTCTTTTATCTACCAATACATAATCCAACAAACTACTGTCATTTCGCCCTACATCATATCTTGTATACTTATTTATCCTCTTTTTCTTAAAATATGTATTACCTATAACTAAACCCCTTTCCATACAAAGTTCAATCAAAGGGCTCCCATTTTCATTTACACCTGGCACCCCAAACTTACCTACCACACCCTCTCTAAAAGTTTCTCCTACTCTAGCATTCAGATCCCTTACCACAATTACTCTCTCGCTTGGTTCAAAGGCTCCTATACATTCACTTAACATCTCCCAAAATCTCTCTCTCTCCTCTACATTCCTCTCTTCTCCAGTGCATACACGCTTATTATGACCCACTTTTCGCATCCAACCTTTACTTTAATCCACATAATTCTTGAATTTACACATTCATATTCTCTTTTCTCCTTCCATAACTGATCCTTCAACATTACTGCTACCCCTTCCTTTGCTCTAACTCTCTCAGATACTCCAGATTTAATCCCATTTATTTCCCCCCACCGAAACTCCCCTACCCCCTTCAGCTTTGTTTTGCTTAGGGCCAGGACATCCAACTTCTTTTTATTCATAACATCAGCAATCATGTTTCTTGTCATCCGCACTACATCCACGCACATTCAAGCATCCCAGTTTTATAAAGTTTTTCTTCTTCTCTTTTTTAGTAAATGTCTACAGGAGAAGGGGTTACTAGCCCATTATTCCCGCCATTTTAGTCGCCTCATATGACACGCATGGCTTACGGAGGAAAGATTCTTTTCCACTTCCCCATGGACAATAGAAGAAATAAAGAAGAACAAGAGCTATTTAGAAAAAGGAGAAAAACTATTAAGATAAAATCAAAGAAAACTCAGATGAGTGTGTGTACATAAACATGTACGTGCATGTGTAGTGTGACTAAGTGTAAGTAGAAGTAGGAAGACATACCTGAAATCTTGTATGTGTATGATACTTAAAAAAGACACTAGCAATCCTACCATCATGTACAACAAATACAGGCTTCTGTTTTACACTCTCTTGTCAGTACGATAGTATGTCCCTGGGTGGCTGCTGTCTACCAACCTACTACTAACAATAAAAATTTAACAATAAAACTAAGGATAAAAATATATCTACATTAAATAACTGAGAGGTATAACTTAGAGCAAATCGTTGTGGCTAACACAGATTGACCATAAAATGGCACCATTAATTTTTTCACTGCTCTGATTCAAGCAATCATGTTTACTGTGAAATCTAATAAAACCTTAAACAATTCTACACCAAATTTATCTTATGCATTCAAGAAATGAATGAAATATTGAATGAGTTTTATATATACTAACAGACACTACCAGAATACATTGTCAGATTATTTTATGAAAATGAATGAAGGACTGGTAGGTAAATAAGAAGCTGGATAAGCAGACCCATAAATGCAACATTACTGTTAATCAAATGACAAAAAAAATTATTTTCTCTGACCTTCACTCTCCTCTTTGCTTGCATCATGGCATTCACTATGAGTAAATATACCATCACTTTGATCTGATGTTTTCCAACGTGATACTGGTATTTCATAATCATCATTCTGAGGGCTGACTCTCTCTTCTTCTTCTCTTGCAAGGCTTCCTCTTAATCTGTTGAGTTTCTGCACATGTATTCTGCAGTCTTTACCTGTTCCTCGACCATAATCCTAAAATCATAAGCTTAATTCATTTCCCAGTATTAAAGTTTATGAAGATACAGTAAAATCTTTACTTTCATTAATAAAATTAATCAGTGTTCTGATTCTCAAAGAAAGAGAAATATTGCATCTAGTAATACAATGAATACATATATAGGAAGCAAATTACCAAGTATAAATAAGGTGATTACAGAAAGGTAAAACAATATGGTTACTAACAAATTATACTAACAGAAGAGCTGCTAAGCACATAATTATCTTGTTTCAAGTGATGGCTTCTTGATTTACAAAATAAATCTGCTGAATGATAATACATATTACAAAAGTACACATTGTGTGGGAGAAAGATGATGAAAAAGACAAGGGGTCAATGACAAAAGAAAGCCAAGCATTGTGGCTTATTTTCACTGGAGTCCATTTTTTTGAGGTCCTCCCTCAGGATTTTGACCCATGGTTGACTAACTCGTAGGGTTGAGTGATTTTGTGCCTTATATTTAAATTGGGACTATTTACTATTACAGTGGAACCTCGACTTAAGAGTTTAATATGTTCTGTGACATAGCTCATAACTCAATTTGCTTGTATATCAAATCAATTTTCCCCATCTAAATTAACTGAAATGCCATTAATCCATTCCAGCGGAATTCCTGCTCTCGGGGGGTAGGACAAAATGCTTCAATATAACACTACGGCTTATCTATCACAAATGATCTAACATGACAAAATAAACAATATAAATAACATAGAAACATGATATATACTCCAGAATGAATAAAATATGTCATTATGTGATGAGTGGCGCGGACATTCCAGCTCCCACTCTGACCATATCTTCCCTTGCTTCCCCTTCTGAGGTCTTATTATAAAAGAAAATGGAGTGTTTGTGAGGCTAACTATACTAGATCACTAGTTTCATACGGAAAACAATGAAACAATGTACTATTTATAAATAAGAGTCAGAAACCTATATGAATTTTTTATGAGAGAGAGAGAGAATTTGGTACACACACACCTATCTGATATTTTCCTGATGCCAAATGACTTTGAAAAGGTGATAAATGACATGCCTATGCACTCTGCCCTAGGCCCAGAATTATGGAACTCCGTGTTCATCAAGAACAGCAAGACGCTCTTATCATGTGCTTTTAACATCCTGTGGAGAGGGAGCATGGACACTGAAGTCGTCCCACAGTTACTTAAAACAACAGACATAGCCCCACTCCACAAAGGGGGCAGTAATGCAATAGCAAAGAACTACAGACCGATAGCGCTAACATCCCATATCATAAAAATCTTTGAAAGGGTTCTAAGAAGCAAGATCACCACCCATCTAGATATCCATCAGTTACACAACTCAGGGCAGCATGGGTTTAGAGCAGGTCGCTCCTGTCTGTCCCAACTACTGGACCACTATGGCAAGGTCCTGGATGCTCTAGAAGAGAAACAGAATGCAGATGTAATATACACACACACTTTGAGAAGTGTGACCATTGTATACTAATAGCGCACAAAATGTGTGATAAAGGAATAACAGGAAAAGTCAGTAGATGGATCTATAGTTTCCTAACAAATAGAACACAAAAAGTAGTAGTCAACAGAGTAAAGTCTGAGGTGGCTGCAGTGAAAAGTTCTGTTGTACAAGGCACAGTGCTCACCCCCATCTTGTTCCTCATCCTCATATCGGACATAGACAGGGATATAAGCCACAGTGCAGTGTCTTCCTTTGCAGATGACACCCGAATTTGCATGACAGTGTCCTCCAATGAAGACACTGCAAGATTCCAGGAGGACATCAACCAAATCTTTAAATGGGCTGCAGAAAACAATATGAAGTTCAATGATGAGAAATTTCATTTACTCCGATATTGAAAATGTGAGGAAATTAAAATTTCATTGGAGTATAAAACAAATTCCAACCACACAATAGAGCGAAAAACTAATGTAAAAGACCTGGGGGTGATCATGTCAGAGGATCTCACCTTCAAGGACCATAACACTGTATCAATCACATCTGCTAGAAAAATGACAGTATGGATAATGAGAACCTTCAAAACCAGGGATGCCAAGCCCATGATGACACTCTTCAGGTTGCTTGTTCTATCTAGGCTGGAATATTGCTGCACACTAACAGCACCTTTCAAGGCAGGTGAAACTGCTGACCTAGAAAATGTACAGAGAACCTTCACGGCACGCATAACTGTGATAAACCACCTCAATAACCGGGAACGCTTGAAGTTCCTAAACCTGTACTCCGTGGAATGCTGGAGGGAGAGATACACGGTTATATACACCTGGAAAATCCTAGAGGGACTAGTACCAAACTTGCACACATAAATCACTCCTTATGAAAGCAAGATTCGGCAGATGGTGCAGCATACCCCCAATGAAAAGCAGGGGTGCCACTAACACGATAAGAGACAACACAATACGTGTCAGGGGCCCAAGACTGTTCAACTGCCTCCCAGCATACATCAGGGGATTTACCAATAGACCCCTGGTTGTCTTCAAGTAGGCGCTGGACAGGCACCTTAAGTCAGTACTTGACCAGCTGGGTTGTGGTTCATACGTTGGATTGCGTGCGGCCAGCAGTAACAGTCTGGTTGAGCAGGCCCTGATCCACCATGAGGCCTGGTCACAGACCAGGCCACGGGGACATTGATCCCCAGAACTCTCTCTCCAGGTATAAAAACATAATAGAGATTGTAAAGAAATAAATTGGTTTTATAAAGTGTACAAGCATTTACCTTGGAGAAGAGATGCTGGCAGAGGCTGAGGGTGAAAAAGATAAGCAGAGCGACATATACTGTCAGTGGCCCTATTAGCCCCAACAACAATAACAACATTAGAGGAGTTCATTTCATTTCGTCCTTTTTCTACCGCTTAATCGCTTAACTTACTTGCTACACTCTTAATGCTACACTTTATCGCAGAACTTAACTGCTACAATTTGCTTTTAATTTTTTTTCCCTTCACTTTTCACTGATTTACTTGCTACACTCTTAATGCTACACTTCTGCTTTAGTATCACACATATCGTAGAAGTACAGTGGACCCCCGGTTTACGATCAGCTCCCAATGCGACCAATTATGTAAGTGTATTTATGTAAGTGCGTTTGTATGTGTATGTTTGGGGGTCTGAAATGGACTAATCTAATTCACAATATTCCTTATGGGAACAAATTCAGTCAGTACTGGCACCTGAACATACTTCTGGAATGAAATAATATCGTAAACCGGGGGTCCACTGTACTATGGTGGTACTGCCTGGCCAAGTCCACAACCTGCACACCTCGCTTGTACAGTGGACCCCCGGTTTACGATATTATTTCATTCCAGAAGTATGTTCAGGTGCCAGTACTGACTGAATTTGTTCCCATAAGAAATATTGTGAATAAGATTAGTCCATTTCAGACCCCCAAACATACACATACAAACGCACTTACATAAATACACTTACATAATTGGTCGCATTGGGAGCTGATCGTAAACCGGGGGTCCACTGTATTTATCTATGATTTCATGCTTTAATTCCATGGACATCATTCTCTTTTTCTACTCAGCACTGTCCTTTGCACTTACTTTCTTAGGACGCATGGTTAGAAAAAAGAAATTTGGCAAAATAACTGCACAAAACACAAGCAAAACATAAGAGAAATGATTCTACAGCGAGGTAACCACGTGCACTGCTCAGCGAATGTTGTGGCGTTTGCTGCGTCAACTAGTGGCAGCGTTCTGAAGCTCACCCATCATCATTATTATTATTATTATTATTATTATTATAATGGGGAAGCACTAAACCCATACAGTGCCTGTGGGGGGAGGGGATGGAAGGTATTCAGGCTTAATTTAGGGAACTGGAGCACAGACCCATTTCCCTAGATCAAGAGCCCCTCACCAGCGTCAAGGAACCTCCCTTGAGGGGGAAGCTCGCTTGCAACTCGGATTTTGGCTAGTAACTCAGAGCAAATAAATTGACTGAGCAATGGCTCGTATCTCGAAAAACTTGTATGTTGGGGCACTTGTAAGTCGAGGTTCCACTCTACTGTACTTCATTTTGAATACAGCAATACCTGATTTTATCAGATACATGACTGTCTCGGTGCATAGCAACTTACAATTCATTTCCAAAGCACCTGCATACATGTGTATAATTTTCAGTTGCTTCTTTATGAGATGAGTTACGCTTGTTTATAATAACACCCATTATTTAATTATATTTTTTTTTGCCTGTAAATTCCAGACTTTATCAGCTTCATTTACAAGCATGTTTTTTCCAAAGATCATGTCCATAATAAGTCTGAAATTGTCACTAAACATAAAATTGAGACATGGTAACTGAAGAACTTGTGGGAAAAATAATGTAGAGCTTTTGACACCTTCAAAAAATGAAAAACTTTTAATTTATTTCATGAAAAATAATAAAGTTTTTGATACCTTATACTGTGGCTGTCAATGCTTGTTGATTTAGAAATGTGTGGAGAGGGTTTACATGATCCTATTAGGCATAGATAGATGCACATCACATTGTTACGCCTGGTCAACTTATGCATTATTTTGAGCTGATATCACTTCATATCATATTACGAACTTTCTTATTAAGTAACTACAATAAGCAAGTCCAATTGTATAATAGTATCTGTGGCCAATGTAAATTACTTAATGGAATCATGCAAAATTATTGTATATTCTTAATGGTTTTAAAATCTTATGTTAGGTGTAACAGTGCAAGTTGTCAAGCACTAGTGTAATTGGTTAACCTGAGCTACCCCTAAGCATGTCACGTGATCTGACCTTATGTCAGGTCACCCCTCCCCACTATTGGCAGTAGCAGCTGCTCTACAGCCCAAGGTGCATTGCCTGGAAGTCCTCTGTTGTAATAGAGCCGTATTCCCTTGCATCATACTTAAGAAGATGCTCATGGGGGACTTATCTGTAAATTACGTCCCAGGTCAAATATCTGATATATTCACCGGTGTGCTGAAAATCTCCGGGTGATTACTTGTAACTTTATTCGTGTGAATGGAAACGATCCCTTAAGGTCCTGTACATGGTACTCTGTAAATATTCTTGTGCTCGTAAAATACGAGAGGAAAATTAATAATTTATAAGTGATATGTTCTAAGGAACAATATAATATTAAAGGCCATAAATTTTTCTTGTTTTTCTTGACTCCGTATGAAAAGTAGTTAGAAATTCATCAACTTATTGTACCTTGACATCCTGTAAAGTGAAAAGAGGATAAGAGGGCAATAACATTAATAAATGCCCTGTAGGTACATAAAGTTATGTAAATTTTTTTTACTTACATTAAATTTTGGTTTCTCTCAGATATAGAT